CCAGCCGCGGCGGGCCCCTGCTGTGGGAGTCCAAGTTGGGCCTGGCCTTCCTCAGAGGCCTCAGCTACCGAAACGGGGCCCTGGTAACTACCAGGGCCGGCTACTATTACATCTACTCCAAAGTGCAGCTGGGTGGCGTGGGCTGTCCCCAGGGGCTGACCAGTGGCTTCCCCGTCACCCACGGGCTGTACAAGCGCACGCCCCGCTACCCCGAGGAGCTGGAGCTGCTGGTGAGCCGCCGGTCACCCTGCGGGCGGGGAAACACCTCCCGCGTCTGGTGGGACAGCAGCTTCCTGGGCGGCGTGGTGCACCTGGAGGCCGGTGAGGAGGTGGTCGTCCGGGTACCTGATGAGCGCCTGATCCGCCTGCGCGACGGCACTCGGTCCTACTTTGGAGCTTTCATGGTGTGAAGGAAGGAGACGCGGATGGATGGAGAGACCTCCCAGGCAGCGGCGACCTCGGGGGGCCTCCCAGGGAACCCCAAACTCGGCAGGTGAACGGCTGGGTGCATGGATACCTCCGGGGACGGAGATCTCACCACCTTGAGAGGCTGAAGACCCAGCTGGCCCTTTTGAGGGACCCCCATACCCCAAATTCAGACATTGCCAAGACAATTCTGACGACAAAGACGGGGGGTGGGGGTGGGCGCTGGGGCGCTTGCTGAGAATGTTTGAGACCCAGGGTTCCATCCCCTGCAACCCCAATTAAAGACAATGCCCAGAAGACTTGGGGGTCCGTAGGCCCTCGAGGAGAGATTTAGCTGATTTGCCTGATATTCAGGAAGACGGGGTGGGGGATGGGTATTTATACTTTTCTTCCCGGAGAAAGTGGCACTCCAGGGATTGGGGCTGGACACCAGCACGGGTGGGGCTCTCCCCATTGTCGCACGGGGGTCAGTCAGCGGGACACTCGTCGCCAGGACTGGCCCACCTAGAAAGCCGGGCCCAGTGCCCCCAGTGGTCATTGCTGAGTCTCATCCACGGATGTGTGGTGTCGCTGGGGACCGAGGTGTGGACGGTCTGCCCTGCTGGGCTCTCAGCCGCCAGGGTGGCCTGACCCCCTGGCTGTACCCCGTCACTGCGAGGCACACCCAGCCCACGAGGACACCAGGCACACGGGAAGTGCTTGCTGAGTGTAGGAAAGCAAAGGATGACTTCACGTTCACACCTGCCTTGTCACGGAGAACCTGTGACGGTCACACGCGGCTCAGAGGCAGCGTCACACGCCCCGGCCACCCACCAGCCGGCCGAGTCACACGCGTCACGGACTCCACTTGGTCTCCGTGGACCGCGCATGGCAGGTCCCTGCCAGCCCCGGTAACCCACAGGGAGCCACAGTGACGAACACACGTCACGCACACAGAGCCTGAGGACCCTTCCTGTCCGGGGACGGACACACCCTGGGCTCCAGGCCCTGGTCTTTGAAATAAACAGCAGACAGCTGCACTCGGGTCTGTCTAGTTCTTGGGGGAGGTCACTGGGGAAGGGAGGTGGGACGTGGTTTGCGGGCCCAAAAAGCCCCATGGGAAGGGGAAAGGGACAAGCGCTGAGAGGCGGCGGTGACTCACAGAGCCTGAGGGATGACCCCAGTGAGGTCACCTTACAGATGAAGAATGTGGGCCCCACAGGAAGGGTGGGCTAAACCAGAGGCCCCGTGCCCGGCTCTGCCTTCCCCGGCCGTCCACAGCTCCAGGGAAGCAGAGGCTCTGTCCTGCACGGCTCCTTATTGGTCACATCCGGAACAGAGTGACAGTCTGCCGAGCCAATTGGAAGCTTGGAGTCAAGAGCGCGTGGGAAGCTGGGAGAGCGGCCGATAATGATGTGCATTCAAATCCGTGGTTTATGCAAATGAGCGTTGCCACAGTGCGGCTGGAGGGAGTTCTTCGTTTCTAGAATCTGAGGATGGCAGACGAATTATTTGTTGTTATTATTGGCATTGGTGATATTCTTGCTATTATTGTTTGTCTGGTTTTTTGCTCGGCACCGGCGATCGAACTCAGAACCTTGCGCTTGCGAAGCAGGTGGCGGAACCACTGAGCTAAATCGACCTGACTTGGTGTTACTATTGCTCCACCACACAGGAGAGAAGAGGACCGGCTTGCGGTCCGGGGGTCCCAGCTTCCAAGTCCACCTTACCACGTAGTCACTGTGTGACCTTAGCAAGCCCGACCACTTCTCAGTGCCTCGTTTCTTTATCTGTAAAATAGGCTAGCGGGGACCACGCACTCCGGAGGCTGACTGCACAGATCCGGCGTGGGAAAACTTGTTTGCCTTGGCACCAGCTACAGAATCAGAGCTCGGTAAGCATGCAGTGCTATCGGAGAGCTGGACAAATGAACGGACGTCTGTGAGGCTGTCCTCATGCACCGGACACCCTGTGTAAGTTGTATCATATGCCGCGTATCACCATATCTAAGCCCTGGGCGGGAGCTATTATGATCCAAACGCAAAGGGCTGAAACTGGCCTGAGCATGGCGCTGATGCCTCCCTCTGCCAAGGGCTGGAGAGTTCAGCAAAGTTTCACATCACCCTTCCCCCGCAGCCCTGCTAGGAGGCAGAAGGGCCCCCAAGTGCCGAGCCCCAGCCCCGACTATATTTGTTACAGCCCCAGTATTTGTTATAGTAACAGCCTCTCATCACGGTCTTTCTGTTTCTGTAGCTTTGACGGGGAGACCAAGGTGTAGGGACAGTGTATTTCTAAAAGCCACCACCAGCCCCTAGCCCATGTCACTGACCTACTTTGTAATTTCTGAGAAGTTTATCTGCTCCGTTTCCTTTCTCAGCTCCTGGGCACCACCATCGACTCTTCCTGAGGGTCTGCAGTCCACTGTCCTCACCCTACCCCAACCCCTGAGCAGGAAATACCTCCCCTCCTCTTCATCTCTCGCCAAGACCCAGAGGGAGAAGTAAACTGATGATAACACAAACCGTCAACTTCATGTTACCGTGCCAGGCTCCTCTCGCCGCCTGTCGCTGTGTGCAAACATGGATAACGCATCGTTTTAGAGAAGCACAGTGGTTCTCACACGGAGCCAGGTCACCTGAGTTCAAGTCCCCGCTCTGCTACTTCCCAAACAGGTGACCTTGGGCTCCATCCTTGACCTCTCTGGGCCTCAGTTTCCTCATTTGTATAGAAAGACAAACAGTGGCCTCTACCTGATGCTCATTACTGTGAGAGTAAATGACTTGAATCTTTAAGTACTTTTACACAGTGTGGCCTGCAGTGTGCTCTTTAATCCTTAGTAGCTGATCTTTTTGTAAGCATAATTTGTTCCCATGGTTTGGAGAAGTGTTCCTCAAAAGTCCTGGTCCTACCATATGCTATCACCATTGTGTGCCTCCACTGGCCCAAAACAGAGGGCCAGTAGATTGCAGACTAAAACCTCTAAATCTGTGAGTCAAGATACACCTTTTTTCTTTTTACAGTGGTTGTCCGCAGGATTCGTTATAGTAACAGAAAGCTAACACATTTATAATTACAATGCACATTTAAATTTTTGATTCTTCTCAGTTATTATATCAAAGGTGATCTCACATGCATAGACCACATCCAGTCACTTGAATGTGTTTTTCAGTAGGAATTAGCAGTCAGTATTTAAATATGAGAAAATTCTGCACACAGATGATGCCCGATTTCTGGATTCTTTGGGGAAGGCACGAGCTGGAGCAACATCCCTGTGCAGTGGAGGCCACTCCCTTTGTCACCAAGAAGCCAGTTCCTGGAGCAGCAAGGAACTGACCCCTCACTCCCTTGGTCCTCAGTTCTTTGTTCCTTTGAGGAAGAATTCAGTCAAGACACATAGGCAGCCATGCAGCAGAACAGGTGAAATTTATCGTAAGGTAGATACGGAGTTACGCCTTCGAGCAAGAAGATGGGTAGTGTCACGAAGCCATGTGCACCAGATGCGAATTTGAGCATTTTTTTACACACACAGAGTTATTCCTGGGCTTCAAGAAACTAGAGTAATTATGATGCTTATTGTCATTGTACTTAGAAGTTATGTTAGAGTTGCAAAACATCCTTCTGTTCTTTTTAGACAGCCGGTGTTTTCTGAGCGTCTGTAATCATTTAAGAAACTTACAAAATGCCGTGTACCATGCTCAGGAACCACAAGGCCAGGTGGACAGGTACCGGAAGGACCAGGCACAATGTGTGACCTTAAAAATGTCACTGAGCCTGTGGGATGACTCTGGGTCTGACACCTAACAAACAATAATAAATGTGTTACACACTGAAGTCTTTGTTTCTTTACTTTAACTGGCAAAACATGCTACTTGGGCATATACTCCCATGGTCTCTCGGGCCCCTTCCTGTCTGCCTGCCTGCCCAGAAGTAGTATTTCAGTCCTTGTTCATGAATTAGGGAAATCCAAGCACAGAGACATTAAATCACTTCTCCATCAAAAGTGGGGAAAACGCAGATGCTTCTTGTTTGCTTGTAACAGCCTGACGGATCTGGTCAGCCAGCTACCCCGATGGCCCCGAGGTAGGAGAGAAGACGTGAAGACAGGTACAAAGGAGACGAGGAAAATCTAGCTTTTAAAACTATACATTTGAGGAACACCTACAGCGTCACCACGTAAAAGTCACTCAGTCCTTCTTATCTTCCAGGGAACTCACTTAAAAAAAAATTCCTAAGGGACTTACAAAGCCTATAAACTGGACCCTGGGCCCTGGGCAGTTTGCTTGCAACTTGTGCTCCCTCCTACTGACCACATCCTGGAGAAAGCTCACTGTGGAGCGGACAGCAGACCTCACCTCAAACACAGGCAGATGGTGTGCTCTCTGACAGAGCCTGGCAGACAGGAGGGGGGAAAGGGGAGGGGGAGAGAGAGCCGGAGAAATGGTCAAGGCCAAGGTGTGGGGTGTACCGAAGGAAGTCTCAGGTGAAATTTTCATTAACCGGGTCTGTCAAGGAATCTCCTCCCCTTCCTCTGAGGCCATTGTTCTCAGGTAAATAAAACGGGGCCGTGTCAAGCAACTCCAGGGAGAAGTGGGCCACTGCTTACTCCCTGGGGTGCCCTCTTCATTTAGTTTGTTTTGCGACCTTGGGATTTTTCTGAACTCTCACCGTGCTCTGACTCTGTGGGCCCCGGACGGTGTCAGCACACCCAGAGGATGTTATGTTCTCTCCAGCGAAGTTTGAAACCACAAGCGTGTGTGGATTTTATCTATAACTAATGAGTAAGAAAGTGAAGAACAAAAAAAAAAAAAATCACATTTTCTTTGCTTTTCAAGAAGCCCCCAGGCCTGCTAATGATCAAATTTCTGCCTAAAATAATTTTTTTACCATGATTTTATCTTTACATTTTTTAACCACAAAAATATACCGAGCTCCTGGCCACAATGGGCCTCTGTCCCTCTTGAGGACCAACACTTTATAAAAATATGTGCTTTACTTCTTATTTCTTTTTTTTTTTTTTCTTTTTTTTTTTTTTTTTGAGACAGGGTCTCACTATGTAGTTCAGACTGACCTGGAACTCACTATGTAGCCCAGGCTGGTCTCAAACTCGCAGCGATCCTCCTGCCTCAGCCTCCCGAGTGCTGGGATTACAGGCATGCGCTACCACGCCCTGCTACTTCTTATTTCTGTTTTGTCTCGTTTTTATTTTCTATCAGTCCCTGTTTGCAGAACGTTGTATTTACATTCTTTGGGTGGACTTGGTACGTGTACATAACGCATCTTAATTCCTTTTTGCATCTCCTTCTTCTCCCCTCCCTCCATCTCTTGGTCCCCCTCCCATTTGAGAAAGACCTATGTCTCCATTTTCAATAAGCCAGGGAAGGCAGAGGACTCCGGCAGCTGAAAATGCAGAAAAATCTGATTTTTCCTTAACCTTCAGAAAGAACAGCCCTGCTGATAGCTTAATTGTAACCCAAGGTGTTTCATTTTGGATTTCTGACTCCTAGAACCCTAAGGTAACTAGCTAATGTTGTTAGTAGTTTATCTCAGTGGTCACAGTAAACTAAGGTAACGGGGATCAAACTCGGGTCCTTGCGCTTGCATGGTAGGTGGTGGAACCACTGAGCTAAATCCCTGGCCCCTATAATAGTTAGATTTAATGGCTCTTTGACTTTAAAATGGTGTCTAAGTGATAACTGTTTAGCAGAAGCCACACTTTGGATTCTGTATTCTGGTCTTTTCTTGGGTCAGCAGAGTGTGGGGTCCTAGAAGGATTCCCCAAAGCAAGATTGAGGAATCTTGACTCACCCACCCAAGGGTCAGGCTTGCAGGCTTGCTGACATCCATCACAGAAGAATTTTCAAAACATGTTGGTAAGACACATAAAGAGGTTTTAGTAGGTAAAATTTTAAAGTGGAATAATTTATAAGAAAATGGATGCACTTGAAACTGTACTGTTGAATGAAATAAATCAGTCACACAAGCTTAAATATCTTCTACTATCTTTTATATGGGGAAGCCAAAATATAAATGAAGAGCAAAATGAAAGGATGTTTTGAGACAGGGTTTCACCAAATCATTACATTGTCCAGGTTGGGTTCAAACTAGCAATCCTCAAGCCAGGTGTGATGGAGCATGCCTGTCATCCCAGCACTGGGGAGGCTGAGGCAGGAGGATCGCTGTGAGTTTGAGACCAGCCTGGGCTACGTAGTGAGTGCCAGGTCAGTCTCAACTACGCAGTGAGACCCTGTCTCAAAAAAACCTAGCAATCCTCCTGCCTCAGCCTCCCAAAGTGCTGGGATTACAGGCATGTGTTACCTCAGCAAGCTCCT